AATCGGTACGAATCAATGACGCGGAAGCAGAAAGAGAGAGAGAAAGAGAGAAAGAACTCGATTCATCGCTCGAATTCGTCGTACGACGTTTCGTTTGGCGACGGATCAATTCCCTCTGGGATAAAGGCGTGGACCGATTCTACTGCAATTCCGTTTCTTACCTTCGAGCTAATTTGGCCACTGATCGGAGGGAAAATTATTTCTGCTATTGTTGTATCATCGGAGATACGATCGACAGAATCGAGAGGATTTTTGTTCCGAAACGTACGGGAGCAGCAGACGCTTATTGGCTGGTAGGAGAGTACGAGGGTAATTCTCGGCACACGGAGCAGAATTCGAAGCAACCGAAGAAGTAGGCCGATCCTATCGAGAAAGAGAGAAGGAAAGAAGAAAGGAAAGAAAATGGCGATAACTTTGGTTTCGCTCGGTATTGGATAGTCGCGATGGTAGCGCATCGCTCGTAAAACGGTCGCTCTTGTAACTACGGCATCGGCAATAAAGCGGTAGCAACGCGAACGTTACGCGTTATTACGCTTCGTTCGCACTCCTTTCCTCTTTATTTCGACGTCGGTNATGGCGCAACGCCCAGTCGCGAGATCTCACGAATCCGTTCGTACGAATGCAAAAAAAAAAAAAAGATTATCAAAAGAATCAAAAGATGGTATCGTGATCCCGAAAAAAAAAAGGAAAAAAAAAAAAAAAGATTATCAAAAGAATCAAAAGATGGTATCGTGATCCCGAAAAAAAAAAGGAAAAAAATAAAGCAAAGTCGAAGAAATACGAGTATCCGTGTCTTTGTTCTCGTTCCCGTACGCCGAGCACGAATCTTGTTTATGTCATGTACGCTTTCCCTTCCGATATCGGCGATATTTGTCAGAGTATTCTTGTCCAGAATGGGCAAGCATCGCACGTACGGGAATACGTGCATCGTGTTTCATCCAACTGATCGCTCCACGCACCACCCGTTCCATTCTCCATTTTCGTACCCAATACGTATCCAATCCTCCCTTTCAAACGCGTTATTACTTCCTTCTCTGAGGACCGACCCCCCGATCATTTCCGTTCGACCGTACTCGAATTAATCGGTTGACCGGAATCTCACCTCGCGAGAACTGAACGGGGCAAAAAGATATATAACCGAAAGTCGAAAGAGTATCGCGTTGGAAGGAGATAGAAAGAGAGAGAGAGAGAGAGAGAGATAGTATTGGAAAAGTGAGCGATAGACGAGAGACGAGGTCGGGTGACGAATGCGACTCGTGGCATGCATCTCGTCCGGTTCGAATGACGGTATTGTACGAGCACTTCCGTTATTGGTCGGTTGGCTAGCATCGTGAACATCGATAAGAAACGAGTTTTATCGATACCGACAAATTTCTCCTTTCAAACCCTCGGACCAGAGTTTTCGCGAAATATATATCCAAGATTTATACCACCGTATATATATATATATTCTCTCTTCTTGACTAAACGGCCGACATTTTTTCGAAACCAGTCTCGGTCCCGTTTGAATTATCGATGACCGTTGAGAATAACTCTCCTTCTTCCGAGTCTTCTTTGAAATTTGAAAGATCGTTCGAAGCAAGGAAGCAAAGAAGCAAAGGAGGAAGGGAAAAGGGAAGAGAAAGGATCGTGTTTTCCCGAGAAGTGGAAATCCCCGAGCCAACAGACACGGTCGCTCGTTAGAGATATTTTTACACCGCGGCGCGCAATCTCGGGCCAGGGACATCGCCAGAGACGCTTCTTAATGAACCGAAACCGCGTTTCCCTCCACCTCTCGTGGAAAACCACGGAGATAATCTCGAGTTCAAACGTCGGCAAATCTCGTTTTTTCCCCCTCGCCCTTCCACGAGTGTACGAATAATTGTTGCGAATTTGAGAACTTTTCTCCACTTTTATCTAGGAGGATAATCGTTTATTCCGCCGACGAAAATTTCACAGTTACAAAAACAAAATTTGCAAGTTTCGCGCATGCGATCTGCGAACGCGACGATAACCAGGACTGTTAGGTGTTCGGGTGGGGATGGGTTTGCGCGCTGTGGGAATAGAAACGATCCAAGACGCGAACGGCAGACGTTCGCAAAGTAACATCGTCGTTTCGAAACTTTGCTCAAGTTGATGGCTCGTTGTTAAGACGCGGCTCGTCGGAACCGGTGCGGAACTCTCTGTCGTTAATCATTTATGATCAACTTAATCCGCCCGTCTGGCTGTTCCTTCGTTAGGACTCCGCTTTCAGCGAAACTAAAGGGAACTGACTTAATGACCGCGATTTAAAGCACCGGTCAACTTCCAGCAC